GATGTGGTAGCTTGAAAGACAAAGCAAAGGTCGGTCACTTTGAAACCATATCAAGGTTCCATTATATCAGATTTTCACTCTTGCTGTACAAACTTGTTCGGAAACTACAGAAAAATCAGGAAAGGGTTTTGTTTATTAATTGAAATAAAATAAGAAGAGATTGTTTAGCTAGAAGCAACAGAGAAATCCTTGGCCAAAAGTTTTAAAGCCATCCACTCTGATGCAGAAAATCACAACATCTCTTCTTGAAAATAAGTGTCCTATTGCAGAGGATAATGGACCAATCTGCATGGTAATGGATATATTTGTAATGGTAAGTGAGAAGTTAGACAAAGCTGAAATGGGCTGTCATGGCTTGGTAATTGTGCTGGGGAAAGCATACCATTGCTTCACATGGAAAGATGAATATAGCGTTCAAGAATAGGGGACTCTCAAAGACAAAAAGACTCATCTAAGAATATTGACTTGGATAAATTAGGGTGTCAGACCTGAACATTTGGCATGCAGTTTGCCTCTTAATCTTTAATGTCTGCCAACACTAATACTTCTATGAAAAAATACACTTTTTTTATTGCAGCTCTATGAAATGTGAATCTTAACTCATGCCCTACTATCTCTACTCTCTTTATTTTTAGGGAGATACATTCTCACATGTAAGTGATACCATGTATGTCTAATGCATTATGGTATGTTTTAATTAAAAAAAATACAACATTCAAGATAATTATTTTGGTAGAAAGCTGCAAATCTAAATGAAGGTTAATTAAAAAATATAACCTGAAAATGTGCATAGCTGAGCTGTAGAAAGTTAAACTGGTATGTGTGACATTGTTGGTGTGCTCAGACAGAATGTTTCATGCTCAATCTGCTATCTGTATTTGCACATTTAATCCCCGTAATAATGTGTTTAACAATACATGACCTATACCCATCAGTGGGCACTTGGGTAAAAACTTTGAGGCATAAAGTCACAACACAGACAACATCAGATGAATCTAATATTTTAGCAATGTTACATTTCAAAGAGGCAATTTACAGTTTAAATAAAAGATGTGTGTGTGTGTGTGTGTGTGTGTGTGTTAAATCATGGTGTAGCTAAAATAATGTTTTTATAGTTGGAGGAGCTGTTTCATCCAAACCCCAAAAACACACAAACACCCTTTTTGACTATGTGTAAACCTGCATGTGACCAAAGTTTACCTGAAATTTTCAATAAAACAACAATAGTGGAAAGCACCATAAGACACAGATTGAAACCCAGCATGTAGGGCACCAATTCAGTTGTTAATTCACCACTGTTGAGTTGTAAATTTTGTTATAGATGACTGCCAATAAATGCTGAATCAAGCGTAACATATACATGCATATATTTCAGGCAGCATTTCCTCTATATCACTGCCAGATCTTCTAATCATCCCTGCTTGCCTCTTTACCTGTTGCCTGCTTGTTGAACATTTTGCAAGTTGTTGCCCCAATGCTTTGCTGCTGGCCAAATGTTATCCTGTCATACAACCAAGAAAACTTCCTTAGCATTTTGTATCTTTAACAGATAGATAAGCCATTAACTTCAAAAGTTGGTATGAGCACTGACAGTGCAGTACAGGACTGATTGTGTTTTCACTGATGGCCACATTATCGTTACCATGCCATCAGTTAGTTCACATTACACAACTGCACATTGTGCAGCTCCAAAAATAAATATTATTTATCACGCCATACTTCACGTCCGAAAAACAACCCAGCTGCAGTTTTTGCCATTTGTTGGTTGGCCTCTGTAGTGGCATTAACACACTTGAGTGTGAAAGTGCCTATTTCTTTTCATGAAATAAATGGATTTATTTTTTTTTTACTGGATGTTTTAGGTTTTCATACAGTTTGGGTTAAAACTACTAAATGCTTTCAGTAAATTATGAATGAACTGTTGAGTTGCTGTCCAATTTAAGGAAACAAGATCTAACTAAACATTCATAGATAGATACACTTTTAATTAGGTTGACTAATATCCCTGCTGAGTGAGACCCTGTTTTATTATGATAGATCCCAGGCATTTGTCACTCATAGTCTGAGCCATGCTGTGCTCAGTGCTTTCTGACTTGACAGACACCTTTCCCACAGAACAATGGGCAATAAGGTGATCACTTAAAATTGTGATGCCAGTCAAATGCTTTTGACAAAACAAACAAGGTAACACATGACAAACAGCATCCTGAGTGTGTACAGTAATTCTCAGCTGAATCATAATGTCATGATTTGAATCATATCTTGGACAAAACTGTGTGTGTGTGTGTGTGTGTGGAATGGGAAAATTTATGGATGGATTGACTCGCTCATAACAGATAGGATGTACTGTTGGTGTTCAGCACAGGATTGCCAAATAGCTGTTTAGATAATTCAATTTAATATCAGTGTCAGAATAAATCCAGTAAAGACTAGCAAGCTTGAAGAAAGCTTTGTGTTGCCAGAACATTTCCATTTTGCATCAGAAAACTCTTCTACATGTAACAGATGCTGTGTCATGGTGCTGCTTTACTGCGTACATTATAAAACAACTCCTCTGCTGTTGATTTACTGTAATGACATTTTCTCTCATAAACTGCTGCATGTTGTGGAAGCTTATAGATGCTATTGTGCAGTTTGTACTTTAAAGTATATGTTGTTGCATGAGCAAGAGAGCAAGGAAAGTGGAATAGCTGAAGTTGGCAATTAAGACACTCAGGTAATGCAATATGAGCATGTGATACAGCGTGATCAGGGTATTCCTGAGAATGAATCACATATACAGATCATGGTGTATTGGGCCAGATGTCTCACAATCTCTGTCCAACCTAATTACTCTTTATTTTACCAACAGAGCATTGTAAATAGCACTTACCCATTATTCCTTTTAATAACTATGGTTCGCCTGCTCTGAAGCCCCCAAAAGAGGGTGAGCATAGCAATTACAGGAAAATCAATGCACTTAATCATTGTGGTGGAGGGTATTCTTATGAGATTGTTAAGGTTTCAACAGAACACTAAGTGAATGTAAAAGAAGCAGGACATGTTCTAACCTCACCTAACATCACCAATGAACAGCATGACTTTAGCTTTAGAAAATACTGCAAAACAGAATGTTTTGCTGACCTGGTTTACAGAGATGCTTCTTTTTTGTGTACAATTGCAATATATTTTTTATGTATTATATAGAATATTTAAATACATTTTAAATTACATGTAATATTTAAAAACAGCTACTTTAATAAGGTTACATGCAAAGAAATTATACTGTGACATCATGGTGTATTTTACACACTACTATGTATTTGCTGCTGGTTACAGGAGACTTTCTGTCCTCAACACACAAAAGCTGGCCAGTCATATCAACAGACTGATTGAATATTTATGCGTCCACAATAAATACTTTTCTCATCAAAATTTAGGGATGAAGTACATAATTAGTTACAAAAGAAGATACAGAGAAAGAGCCTAACATTGCTCATATATTACTGTGCCTCATATATTTCCATGTCATGGCATCAGTGACATTAATCAAAGTCAGGTTTCTGCAGTGCTTTCAAGGGGGATGAGAGGAGCTGGTTCAAATGGCAGTGATGGCCATTCCTCTTTATTCCACCTCTGTTCCATGCCGAGCCTGAATGCACCTGACTGCGCCCAAAAAGAACACTGGTGATCACCAAAACTGCAAAACATTGTTGGCTACACCTACGTATGTGCACCTTCACCAGGAGTGTAGAACTGCACTTACTGCTGCACACTATTTTGGGAAAATAGAACCCACAGAGCTATTTTTTACAGGAGAGTCTTGGAATTACAGCTGCTATGTTGATATTGTACTCCTGTAGTCCTTTTGTTAGTCACCACTGAAGAATTATTGCCCCATCATGCTGTGACATAAATCACTGGTAACCTCTAAACCATTCAGAAGCCTTTTACTAAAAGGTTGTTTTTTTTTAATTCTTTGTGTAAAATGTTTGACTTTCCTCACCTTCTCTTTCCTTGGGGCGGCTGTGGCTCAGGAGGTAGGGCAGGTTGTCTCCTAAGTGGATGGTGGGGGGCTCGATTCCTGGCTTCTTCAGCCCACATATTGAAGTGCCCTTGAGCAAGACACTGAGCTACTAGTTGCTCCTGGTGATGTAAATATGTGTGTCCTAATTGATGAATGGGAAATAGTGTAGTGAGCTTTAATGCCTAGAAAGGTGCTATAAAAGTGTAAGACCATTACTTGTCCTAATTTTAAAAGTGTTGAATGTTAAAGCCAGGAGTCAGATCCTCCAATTAGGAATTATTACATCACCTCTGTTTTTTATATCTAGGCAATGCTGATGGACAGTGTTCCCAGGGTCGTAGCGTGTGTCCTGTAAAACAAAAGGAAAATAAAAATGTTGTTGAGCTCTGCCCCTTCTATCTGTCAGATGAGCAGTGCGAGCCCAGTGAAGCTGAACAGACACTGCTGCTGCTGTAGCTATTCACTTTAGTTTGTGGCCATCAGGCTCCACCAGAAAGCGGCAGACACAAGGTGTTTTCAAACCTGATAAACAGTAGGGAGGCCTATCAGTGACTCACAGTCAGATCAAGTGATGTAGGGACACACCAGGGACTCGTTGTAATGACCCAAGATATACCAACATTTTTGCAACCTTAATGAGCTTCAGCTCAAGCATGAAAGCACAAAACATAAAAGGACACGCAAATTATTGGCAGGAAGACTCTCTCAGGGAGCCATGATGGATTTTAATTGTGGGTATCATTCTCTCGCACAGGTATTAAGGTGGATGTTGTGAGGTTAGACCCCGTCTTTTAGCCAAATCTCTTTCCTGAATTATTTCTGTCTTTTCTTTCTCAGTCTCAATACTGTATTGTCTCAGAGATATGGTTGTGTGTAATACTTTTATTTTGTAGCACCTTTCAAAACCAGTAACTTATTGCTTTACAGAACATCATATAAGAAATAAGTCTGTGATAAAACAAACTGATAAATAATTTTAAAAATGGTATTCTAGGCACATCCACCTCGGAGCAGAGCCCCAGGTGGACCCAGAACATGCTGGAGGGATTACATGTTCCACCTGGTCTGCATGCCTCAGGATCCCTCAGGAAATGCTGGAGGTAGTGTCTGAGGAGGAGGACGTCTGGATTAGTTCACTTATCCTGTGATTGAACACAGATAAAAGGTATGTTATATTTATTAATGCTTTATAAACGCCATACTTTATTTTTTATCATTTTTGTTGTTTGTTACAGTACCGTTGTACAATACCATTGTTCTCTGTGGTTACTTCTTTTTATTTGACAATGATAGTAATGAGTACATACTGTATTTTTTCATACACTGAATTATAAATCCCTCCTTTGAGCAGTGGTGATAGCCATGCAGTCATGTGAAACCCACCTGGATGCTTTGTTTTGTAGATCCCTATCTGTTGAACAATTACTGTCTGCACTAAACTCTGTGAAAAATTATTTGTGCATTTCCTGTGACTGCTTTGCTATGAAAGCTTCCCTGTGTTTCGCCTGTTTAATGTATTTACTGTAATACTTAAGTAGGATTACTTTACAAATATAAGATTTACATTGCTTCTATTCTGAACTGAGGACAGACAGTCTTTTATAAGGGACTCCAAGTCTTAGTCAATATGTAAACAAAAGCAAACATGCAACTTCACTAAACACAGTATAAGCAATTCAACAAATAGTGGTTTCCATTACATGGAAGATACTTTGTGTGCTTTACGGTAAACTGTATTTCATCTGCTGCACCTTGCTACAAATCTGTTTACATTGCTAAGAAGAAAGCTGCATGTGGTACTGATATCACATCACATTATTAAGGAACAAAGAGGTCTAATGACGTTTCAGGAATCATTTTTCATTCTGATAAACATCAGCATTGAAGTGTAAATCTCAGATGAGTGAAGGTCCAGTACAGTGATGCTAAAATCAGAAGTCATTACAATAAATAAAGATGATTGGTACAAGACCTCTCTACTTTCTGCTGTACAAGATACAAAGCTTATCAGTAATACAAGGCTCTCTGTGTTGTGCATTAACACGAGTGGAAGACAGACTGACATAAGCTGGTTGTAGAGAATGTGTAGATATTACAACATTTGCAACGTGTGTAATGCATAAATCATTTGCTTAAGTTATAATGTTACATCATGCAGGTTGTGTTTAGATTTAAGGCAAGTGCAGTCTTCCAAGTTATAAAGCTTGGCTTAAATTTGTTTGATGAACCTATAGCCTCCCTGTCAGATCTTCTTCCCCAAATAAACTTGGCATAGACTATGAATCCCTTTCTTTCACTTAAGTGCTAATGGAAAGGATGAGTAAATCAATAATGCAACTAAGTATTTAAGATAATCCAATTCTAGGCACTATTTGAACTTACATCTTTTTTTAAAGGCAGCAAAGCCTGAAACAAAAGCAAGAGGATATTTTCTTTTTAAATGACCAAACTCTTACTGACTGGCGTATGGAGAAGCTGCGAATCTTTAAAGGGAAAAAATCTACGACTTCAGACCTTTACTGTACAAAACTAATCCACATACAAATATGTAAAGACTTAAGAGAGAATACTGGCTACCATGTTATGTGGAATCAAATAACCAATATCACTGGTGAAGTATGCTTAATTAGTATAAGATTAACCTTTTTTGTTTCACCAGTGTACTCTATGTGCATTAATAAAACCCTTGCCTGAATTAGATTACCCTAAGTATCTCTGATGAAACAACTTAATGCTCAACTTTATAGCAACTGATTGGAAAAGTGACAGCTACTGTATGAATATTTTCCTGAGAAGAGCAAGGATTTGTACCTGAGGGAGAAAATAGCTCCTGCATTATATTTGTCATTGTCTACATGCATGAATATTAGACAGAAGGGCACAGGGTCAGTGCCTGCTGCCATTGACAACTTTCTGAGAGCCGTGGTATGTGAAACAGAGGAAACTAAAAACAAGAAAAAAAATAATGGTTAAAGGTCAAGCGAGTCTCACAGCAAAATGTATAATCGCTATGTTGATCCCCAACACAAAACGTACTAGTCTCACAGTAATGCCTCAAACTGTGAAATTGCAATATTTTTCTGGTTCAAAAATTGTGACATGGCGATGTCTTTCTCTCAGTGACAACAAAAGACTGGCTGACAGTCCTTACACATAGTTAAGTTTAGGCACATCAACTGCATGGTTAGGGTAAGAGAAAGACCTTGGGTTAGGTTAAAACAATCTCAAATAAAAAGTACAACATCACACATAGTACTCAATCTCTGGTTTTCTGTAAGAAGGTCAGGTCTTCGTTGGACCCCTTCCTAGTGTTTTTAACATTCTGTAGTTCAAAACCTTCAATGGACATTAAGGGCCCTATCCTGTAACAAATGCATAACATGTGGCGCAGGAATTGCACCTCTGTTCCTACCTGCACAATTACCATTTTCATGATATGTTCATCACGTTGCCTTTTTACCAAGCAGCATTCTGTCGACTTTGCGCCGGCAGGTGTGTCCGGATGAAAATGGAGTGGGTCCAGGTAAATTTTGGGCACATTGGTAATATGAGGGCACGCAGCAAAAACAGTCAGATTATCATTGCTAGTTAATGGGCGCTTTGGTCATGTTGTGATCCGCGCCTTTCTAGATGCGTGCACAGTAGAAGGTGTACTTCCTGCACCAGCTCAGGAATTTCAACCTGCCCCAGGAGCTGCTGATACAGTTCTACAGAGGAATCACAGAGTCTGTTCTCTGCATCTCCATCACTGTCTTGTTTTGCTCAGCAACCAAATAGGACAGGAACAGACTCCAGCAGATAGTCAGGACTGCACAAAGAACCACTGGTGCCACCCTGCCCTCCATGGAGGACCTGTACACCTCATGGGTCAATAGGAGGGCAGAGAAGATTTCTGCAGACCCCTCTCAGAAGGACATGTAAATACACATTGAGAGCCACTGTTCCAGAGTCAAATTCCCTGTGTGTCATACACACCTGGCCAATAAAGCTGATTCTGGTTAAAGCTCCTCATTTTCCACCTCCCAAAGATGAATGCACCAGTGAGTACTGATTTCCCTTTTACAACTGTTATCTCATGCAAAGCAGCCCCATGTCAATTTTTTTGGTTGTTTATATTGGTTGTATATTGAAAACAGGGACAAATTCTGAATGTAAACTGGGTTTAAACGTGGTCAGGCAATCGTTCTTTGCTGTCAGACTCTGTCTTCAAAGTGAATAGAAGTACTGCATTAGTTAGACTTTTCATTGAAAACCTGGTCATGAACATCATTAGCAAATCAGTAGAATCCATTAAAATAAAGAGCATCTTGGCAGATCTTTGGCTCTTTTAACCCCTATGTTGTTTAAGCTGTGATTGGGTAAGATTTCCTGTCCAGCATTAATGTTTCATCATTGTAAAAATCTTAAGCACTGGGATTTTAACTGTAACAGTCTTTTCCAATTAGTCAGGAATATCACTAGCTTGAAATGAGTAGAATAATTCTTAATTTAGAAACAAAAGAAGATACTGTTGACATGATTATTCATGCTTTCAGGTTTCTTCACTCTTAGTCCAGTTAGAGATGCACTTTTTTTGTATTCTAGCATAAACCATAAGGCATAATCATCATATTAGAATATCTTGTATGATCATAAAATTATCTATCAACTACACTTTCACTCTTTTTTAAATAAAAATTTTTATATAACATTTCTTCAAACTTTTTAAGTTGCTCACTTTTTTGACTTTGTTTGATTCAACTCTGTGTGACCTGCCCTGTCTATATGTGGGGACATTTTATATGAGACACTGAGCCGTTTGAATGTTGGTGTCAGTGTGTGGGTGTATGTGGTCACATATGACCTAAGAAACTGATGAGTGAGTCAGCCTGGGTGACCAGTGTGATTAGATGATGTGCAGCTTGGGTCAAGGTTAACGTCTTCTGTCAGGTGTGGTTTAAACTGCTGTGAAACCCTGTGCCATTCTGTGCCAACATGGAGTAGACAGCGAGCTCCCTCCCCTAACATGACCTTGGTTTCATCCATTTTTCATGAGGATCCAGCATTCGACCTTGGTTTCATCCATTTTTCATGAGAGAATGGCAGAGGATCCAGCATTTTCGCAGTATTAGTCAGTAAAATAAAAGCAAATTTTACCCTTGTTTTTATGTTGGTCTTCTATCCAAAGCTGATTCTTGAGTGAATTGTACATAGCTACGCGAGATGATATGTTCACAATATTAAATAAAGGTCTAAGGTAGAAAAGAGAAAATGTGAATACAACCCCAAATCAGAAAAAGTAGGGATGGTATGTAATATCAAAATTAAAACTGTAAATAGTGATTTGAAGTGAGTGTTTATTTTTAACAAAGAATAAAGTTGATGAGGGATTACGTGAAATAATCTGCTGCTGTATTGTCTTCAATGTAATACAGGACACAGATGATTTAAAAGTCACTGTTTTATCAATTTCATTATATGGATAATATACTGAAGCCTTTTTTTAAAACTTATTTTTAACTTTTCACTTTTTTTTATCAGCATTTGGTGAGAAAAAACATTGAGTGGGATGCTTTTGTGCAAGTGAGAGACAGGGTGAGGGAGTGTGAGAGAGGGAGACCCACGCACAAGGTCTTTGCAAAGCAGAACCTGTCAACTAGGGATTAGCAGAATGAGCAGAAAACCAACAATAGGCAGCAGCTTATATACTTTAGAAGGCAGGATTTCAATTTTAATCCAGTATAAATGAGGGGAAGAAAGCATAAAATACGATCACCACTAGTGGGCCTAAATATTCACACTCAGGAAGCTCATATTATAAATGAGACAAATGTACTGAACAATTGAGAAAATAAAGGAATTAAAAGGAGACTGGGCCACGTAAAAAAAGGCAAACTGAAAGAGAGAGCAAGTATGGCTTTATTTTGTTATAATTGTTTCTAATTTTTTCCCTCAACACTGGCAGGTGTGGTGGGGAAATACGTAAAATGCAGCCTCCAGTCCAAAGCTACAGTAGTGTAAGCTGACTAATAAATTTGGCATTCCAGTCGAGTGCAATCCAGTGATTGAATTACTTAAAAATTAAAATAATTCAATAGAAAGGTAACATTATGACCATACTGTGTCGCTAATGTTACGAAAACAAACAGATTAGCTTCTTGGCTGGGTGCACTTTTAACCTTCACT